CTTATTTCTTTTCATGGTCATTTTGGACAAATTGGAGAGAGTCCAGCGGCGGGCAATGAAAATGGATAGGAGGCTGGGACACATGACTTGTGAGGAGAGGCTGAGGGAACTGGGCTGATTTAGCATGGGGAAAAGACGACTGAGGAAGGATTTAATAGCAGCCTTTGACCACATGAAGGGTGGCTCGAAAGAGGATGGAGCTGGACTGTTCTCAGTGGGGGCAGATGACAGAACCAGAAGCAATGGGCTCAAGTTGCTGCAAAGGAAGTTTAGGTTGGATATTAGGAAAAACTCTCATGAGGGTAGTAAAGCACTGGGACAAGTACCCCAGACAGGTAAATCCACCCTTGGAGGTTTTTAAGCCCAGCTAGACAAAGCCTTGGCTGGGATGATCTAATCGGGACTAGTCCTGCTTTGGGCAGGTGGTTGAACTAGATGTGACCTCCTGAGGTCCCTTCCAGCCCTCATTGTCTATGATTTCTCTGTGCTTGAGTTCAAGGGTTGGCTGCATGCAGGGCGGTGAGTTACTTAACGAAATCCCCTTTGAGCTGGCTGCCGGTGGGCACACGTGGTGCTGCAGGGAACCATGGTATTGCAGTGAAGAATCACCTCGGACAAGGTCGCAGGGCCCCATGAATCACAACCGGTCGCTCCCCTACACACGGCCATTGTCTTGCTTTCCTGGTTACCCCACCCCAGTGGTGACTCGCTGTCCTCTCTGTTGCAAACCTGCTTGTCTTCCTGTCCAGGTACATCCGCCCCAACCAGCCAGTGCGCGCCACCACGCTGACCAGTGCCTGCGCCGACCACCCTGACCAGCGCGTGATGTACCTGGAGCACGTTGTTGTGAGAATCAGCATCTCCCACCCTCGCCGTGGGGACCTGCAGATCAATCTCATTTCTCCCTCAGGGACCAGGTCTCAGCTCCTGGCACCAAGGTAAGAGTGGCAGAGCCGTTACAGCAGCACTGTCACTGTGCCAAGTGGGCATGAGGTCGGCTCCCTGTCCAACTTCCATTGTCATTTCAGTTTCTCTCCCTTCTTTCTTCATTCTCTGACCGTTCCCCCCTCCCTCCGCTTGCCTCCTTCCCTCCCTGCCAAAGAGCGCATGAGCCAGTCTGGGACATGGTGACTGTAGCAGGTTGTCTCTCCTTTATCCCAACCCTGGAGCGAGCTTGCTCAGAAAGTCCATTTGGTTCTCAATTCCAGTCCACTTATTTTGCAGGGAGCAGGCTTGTCCCCATAACAGACAAGACAAGCAATACCATCAGCAGGCGAATTACAAACAAAAGCAAAACCTACAGTCTTTCTTCAGCTTTGGGGAGAGGCTCAGTGCTTGTCTCTGCATACCAGCCT